CAGCAGAATTTGCTCTACATTCTGTCAGCAAAGGTCATGTGCAATTAGTAATTAGTCCACATAGATAAATGGCTACCCTGCAGTTTTCTTGGGCAGGATTCTTCCCCAGCATTCCCCATCCTGAAGTTACAGTAAAAGCCAAGTCCTTACAAGGATCTCACAATCTGTCCTCACCTCTGTCTGACTCCTCGACCCCTCTCTGTTCAGGCAGGCTCTGGCCTCAGGGCCCTTGCAATTCTTCCCTCTTTCCCAGGGGAGAAAAACACACACACACACACACACACACACACACACACACACACCCCTCTTTCTGTAGTCTCCCCTGATTCTGGTTAAAGTTGCACACTCACTCCATCCCTCTGGCCTCTCCTTCCTTGCTTTCTGTTTCTCCTTGGCACCAACACCTTCTAACACCTTAACTCTCTGATGTATTTCTTTGGTTTGTCTTTTTTTTTTTGGCCGTGCAGCTTGTGGGATCTTAGTTCCCCCACCAGGGATTGAACCCATGCCCCTTCGCAGTGAAGGCACAGAATCCTAACCACAGGACCGCCAGGGAAGTCCCAGTTTGTTGCTTATCTTGCCCTCACCCCCCACTGCTGAGGGTAAGGCTCTGTCAGGGCTGGGATTTGTTTTGTCCATGGCTATATCCCTGGTGCCTAGAACATGGACTGGCACCTGTGGGCTCAGTGTTTGTGGAGTGTGAGGCTGGATTCACACAGAGTTCTTTCAACTCCAGATAATGTATCATTGGCTTTGTTTCATGAGCCCCTGTCCCAGCCACAGCATCAGCAAATTACCTTCGTAAATGTCAGAAGGGAGTGTCATGTGACTGTAAACTGAGCCAGACTGTTGACTGATTTTTTTTTGTACTTTACAGAATCAAAGTATTAGGTTGCCTAAAAATTCCTAACTTCTGGCTTTTCAGGAAGCTTTATATCACACTGCTAATTTACGTATTGACAACATTTTGACATGGGCTTATTCTTACTCTGGAGGGACTCATTTTAGTGATGTGTTCATGAATTATCCTTTTTCTCCATTTTTTAGCATTTTCTTTAATAAGACTTTATTACTTGGAAATGAGAAATAACCAATGACTTTCGAGGGGGCCTTCCTACTAATGTGTGCAAAACTCTTTTATGAGCCAGAGAAACATTACGCGGGCCTTTCACTGTTGTGGCCTCTCCCGTTGCAGAGCACAGGCTTAGCGGCCATGGCTCACGGGCCCAGCCGCTCCACGGCATGTGGGATCCTCCCGGGCTGGGGCACGAACCCGCGTCCCCTGCATTAGCAGGCGGACTCCCAACTACTGCGCCACCAGGGAAGCCCCAAGAGAAACATTTTTAAAGTCATTGTCACTTGTCAGAATCCCTGGGAGAGCCAATCGTTTGAAGAATTGACAATCCCAGTGAAAGAGCAGAGGGCAGGGTTGTATCATCTTGGCGAGATTATCAATACTTGGTTTCTCTTCCCAGGATTCAAAGGTATTTTCAAGAAGCCATGACCGGAGAGTGAGATTTGACTTTAAAATCTAGGCCACTGAGGGCCTACAGCCAATGGAACTTTCTGGCTTCTGAGGAGACCATGAGATGCAGAGAATGCTTTATTTGATATCCAAGGACATCCACGATGTACTTCTTAACCCCCAAAGAAGTGGTATGACCCTGGCTATTCATGAGGTATTTAGGAACAAAAGTTAAAATGAGATTAGGTAAAGTACACACAATACGTTAAAAAGTGCTTTACACACTGCAAAGGGCTCTGCAAATATTTGGTGTTGATGTTTCGATTTAGCTGACCCCTGAATTTATCTGAAGGAAAATGGACTTTGAGTTTAAACATTCCTAGTTGTGTGACTTTGAAGCAATCGTTCTACTTTCTTAGTGTGTTTTCCAGTTTAATGGAGCTCTTTTTGGTTTTACCTCACATGACTCTTTAGGAAAGCAAATGGTTGTGGAAATGTTTGGGGAAGCACAGTGCTCTATATAACCTGAGCTGTTATTCTGGAGCCTTTGAATTGGCCAAGGCCTCCTAGAGTCTAAAATACAGTGCATAATTTCCTATGAGAATCATGTTGGTAAGAAGTGCGCTTACCTTATATAAATATGCTCCCAAAGTTAATATCTAAATGAATTTTCTCTTTAATGCAATGATTTTCCTTCTATATTAAATATTTCTAAAAAAATTCCATAAGGGATAAGGTGGATTTTTTTTTTCCCCAAAGGAGGCAGCCAGGGTGTAGCATGCTGTTTCCAACTTACCAAATCAGGAACTTGCACTCAGGTTGGAACCCTACATCCCTTTCCCTAAAGGATGGGCTTTATGGGAAGTCTATACAACCTGTGGAAATATAGGGCTTCTCTGTGTGTCTGGCTGTGTCAAGGATTCCCCAGGACTGGATTAAATCAAATAGAGGGCAGGAAGATGGGCTGGGGAGGCAGCAGGAGTATCAAGAAAGGTTGAGGTGACTCTAAGGTGACAGCCTTGCTGGAGTGGGAAGTGTTTCCAGCCTCTGGAGGGGAAAGGAGAGAGCTCAATCCTTTTGAAAAGGGGCTGGCCCAAAGCAGGTCCCAGCCTCCTGTGGGTTTGGCAGGCCATCTGACCCTCAGGCTGTGACTGGAACCAAGTCCTGGAGTGGGGCCCCCGTCGTGGCCCAAGGTGGGAAGACACTGGTCCTCCGTTAGCATGGAGGGTCCCAGTTTTTTACCCTCACTGTGATATCTCCAGAGCCAACATGGAGTCTGCCACCAAGAGATGCTCATAATCAGTAACTGAATCAGTAACTGAAAAGTGGTTAAACTATTAGCAGTGACAACAGAAGTATTTGCAAACTGCCCAGGGTCCCTACTGGTGATAAAAAGCATTTGGGCGAGAGGGGTATCCATAATTCTATCAGTGAAACCTCTAGCCAGAGAATGCTGTTTTCTTCCTGTTATGGTGATAGTGGAATCACCTTTTCCACAGTTATTTAAATCTAATAGTTAAGGCCACAGAATCCTTTGGTTGACAGGTGCCACATTTCACAACCATAGTACCTGTTATGGTATAACAATAGTATAGTTCATAATTTTTAGGTTTCAAAAAATACAGTCTATCAATTCAAAAGTTTGGAAGATTTAACACTATTGTCCATGAGATTAAAATATTTATTCAATTAGACTGAAAATCCTTAGAGAAATCAACTCCATAGCTTTTGGGGACGGGGCCCAATTTGATCTACTCACAAGTGGGGATTTGGGGGAGAATATTTTGGGATTTGGGGTATGGAGATTTTTTTCAAAGCTTTTATACTTTCCCACTTCTAGGTGGCTATGAAATGTCCTGATCTCCTTCTGGTAACGTCTGTCTAGATAAAACCTTTTTTTAAGATAGGCCTTGTCAAAGACACAAGGTAGCTGTTGAGAGTACAATAATGCATTTACAAAATCTGTTAAATGGTCATTTGTGTAAGTAGATTTATATAAACAGAAAATAGTTCTATTTTTTCTTTGCCAAGCAATCGAGCAAAACCCTAGGAACAACAAAATTCGGCGGAGGCCTTGGGGACAATGGCCATGCCTTCTCTGAGTAAGACATAAGCACCACCTGGAGGGCCCATTTGAAACTACAGCGTGGCAACTGAAGAACCTAATGTTTTCAAGCATCAGGGTACAACTGGTGAACAGGTGGGCAACAGAGGCAGGAAAGAACTACCTCCATTCCATGGCTTGAGCGCCTACTATTTCAAGCTTCCAGTAGAGGACTGAGAATAGTGTTACTGAGTGAGGTACTTTCAGCCAAGGTGGGAGATGAAACCCTAACATCTGAAGAGTATTAACATTAGCTCCCTAGTAAATATAGGTCAGGAAGTGCTTGCAAGAGGGAAACAAACAGGCAAATAGGTCCCCAGCTCGCTGCATCCTGTTATTCCCTCTGTCTACCCTGAGTAGGGGGCCACATACAATATGCATTTTATTCCCAAGACGTAAATGACTAATAGTTTAGTTTAGTTTTTTTCCCAGAGGCATTTACATTTTAATAGGTTGAAAGCCTTAGTAAAAAAGAGCAATGACAGCAGAATTTCCAATAGACGTCAACTTTTGGCTTTGGTGGAATAAGAACCATCCCCTTTATCAAATACTTATTATTCCTTTTAAACAAACTAGGTCTCTTCCTTACTGATTCAATCGTTTGAATGAAAATGTTTTAAAAGGAGTATTTAACCCCTCAAGATTCTGAGTATTTAAAAACGCCTGCATCTCCTGTTTCTCTATTTCTCATGAGATACTGGAATTTCTAACCAGATAGTAGTCCCTCAACTCAACACTTCTCAAATATCTCTGGTGAAAATTTTTTTTTAAAATTTCCAGTACTTGAGGGACCAATACTTGGGTAAATTAAAATCAAAATGTTATGAATTTTATGTTCATATCTAAGAGTTTAGTGTCTCTCTGTACGTATCTTGTCACAGACCAATAAGTGTGCAGACTGGCACTGGGCTGCGGATGGTGTTGGAAGATCACTGCTATACCTTGTATTTTCTCCCTTAAAAAATACCTGCATTTGGCCTAAAGATCTCTGCCCACCATGGCCACCATGGTTACATGCAAGAGCTTGCCTTACATCTTCCTTCCAATTTTTAAAAGAAGATAGCCTCTGAATCCATAATTACAGACATTTCAGACACTTTCTCATCTCCATTTAAACTGACCCTCGTGCTTCCCTGGTGGCGCAGTGGTTGAGAGTCCGCCTGCCGATGCAGGGGACGCGGGTTCATGCCCTGGTCTGGGAAGATCCCACATGCCGCGGAGCGGCTGGGCCCGTGAGCCATGGCCGCTGAGCCTGCGCGTCCGGAGCCTGTGCTCCGCAACGGGAGAGGCCACAACAGTGAGGGGCCCGCGTACCGCAAAAAAAAAAAACAAATAAAAAACTGACCCTCTACTTGCAGTGTTGTGTGACACAACTTTCCATTCCCTCGTTCATCAGTTCAACCGGTTTGGTGTTGCTCACTTTATTGGCGGTGAATTTGGCCTGGATGCCAGAAGCTCGTGTAAGACACTTGGGTAGCACAGAAGTTCAGGTATTTGAGGATTCCCAGGAGAAATCCATCTAGGAAAACAACATAACTGACAAGACATATGCTTGCTTTTTTTTTTTTTTTTGGCCACCCCATGGCATGCAGGATCTTAGTTCCCCGGCCAGGGATCGAACCCGCACCCCCTGCAGTGGAAGCGGGGAGTCTTAACCGCTGGACTGCCAGGGAGGTCCTGACATACGCTTTCTTGATATAAAGATTACAGGAAAGGCTCAGTTGAATTTTTCCCTCCAAAATACAGGTTGAAAGAGTCTTCTGATGGATAAGCAATTCTGATATTCATAAGTTTTTTCATCCATGGTTTGGAAGGCAATTAATTCTTTTTTTCTTATCCCTATAACCCCAAACTGAAAATTCCACAAGGCCATGTATTAAGTGTATTAAGTTCGTACATTTCCATTTATAAGGCACAAACCCTACACATCTCTCAAGAGAAAGGAAGAAAACAAAGATATGAAGACAACAAAGTAATCTAGGAAGAGAGGAGGTTCATCAAACTGGAATGAAAACCCACCTCCCTTTTTAGTAAACAGACCTTATATTGATAGGAAATACAGCCTCTGGGGAGGGTTCCAATGCAGCCCCCTTCACTGGATCAGTGCAGAAGGCAGTCCTCAGGGGGGCTGCGTGGCCAGAACACATCAACTGCAAGCCTCCCTCACCCCATAGAAGCTGCTGGGCAGCTATGTCCTGAACAGAACATTCTGCCTACAGGGTGCCCAGTTCACCATCCTCACCCAAAGGAGCCTTCAGGGACCAATCCACCATGAATGCACACATGTGCCTGTCCTGGGGCTTGATTAATTTAAGTTGCTCTAAGCTGAGGTACAACTGCCTCCCCGAGGACCCTGAACCAGGGTAGTTATGTGGGTCCTTCGTGGGGCAGCATCTATTTAAGAGGCTGGACCTTGAGTTCCTCTTGAAATAATCAGATCCCTAGTGGGACTCTCAGAACCAATTCACTCTACCAGGGGCTTTTTGAACATGTTGGTCAAAATCTGGAGAAGATGCTCTGGAGAAAGCTCCAGATCTTCTGGCATGTAAGGCAGCCCTAACAGATCTCAAGTAATCCTGCAATGCACAGGTATAAACCAGAAGGGTCCCATGACACCAAACGGTATCCATGCTTGCTGGCTGGACCTCCTGATGGCTCTTGGCACTGTATTTTCTACTACCGTTTCCATTAGTATTATATGACAGTAAGTTTCCTGAATGTCCACATGGATCCAAGCATTTCCTGGAAGTATGACTGCTTCATCGTCCTCTCATCATCATGCAAGGTACAGATGGGAGTGAACAGCACTTGGGAGAAAACAGCCAGGCAGACATCATCCTGAGAAAAGGGTCGGTGAGAGAGTGGGCCAGAGAAGGGACTGGAAGTGAGACGAACCGAGTAATTCACGAGGTCTGAGGGTTTTACGGAATCTTCTTGAAGATTCTGACTTCTCCACCAGGACGATCTGAAATCCAAATGAAATCGGGTCCTTGGGTCAAGGTACCCAATTACCAAAGACCAGCATCACAGAAGAATGCTCATTTCAATACAGTGTGGTCCAGCCACCTCCTAACTTCTCCAGTCCAGTTGGATTATCCCTTTACACCAGGCCTTGCCCCTGGCGGCCACAGTCGGAATTCTACTAAATTTTCAGGCATGAAGATGGTTCTTAATTCAGTGTCCGATGAATCTTAGCCAAGGTCCCTTCCCTTCCTGTGTCTCGTAAGGCTACAGCCCAGAGGATAAAGGGATACTTTCATTCACAACAATAACAGCAAAACTCTTGGACCCTTTGGCTTCCTAAGGCCATAGCCACAGCCACCCTTGGAAATATGTACTCATTTAAAAGCCTGCTCTAAAAAACAAAAAGTCAACTCCTACTGCTGATTCAAGTTTTCCCCAAATCATATCAGGCCAGCTCCACACCGCACCCCACCTGCCGGCCTCAAGAATCTTTCTTGGTCAGTCTGGCCTTGATTTTTTGCCTCAAGAAGGCTGCAGTGGCTGCACTGCAGGTGACCAAGAAGAAGAAGGAGAGGCAGGCCATGTAGATGGACAGGGGGCTGTGGCGTTGCAGGAAGATCTCCTGTCGCCCCCTGTAGTCTAGGAGGATGGCCTCCAGCTGGGACAGTGTGCAGACAGACAGAAAGGCGTGGAAGATCTGATGCCCGTGGCCCACGATGTCACAGGAACCCGGGAAGTACTTCTCCGGAACCGGGCAGGAGAAGAAGTAGGCACTGACCAGGAAGAAGACAATCTGCAGGGAGTGGTACCAGACCGCCTGCTCCTGGCAGCCAGACAGGTGGCACAGAACCACGCGATGTGCCACAGGGCTGATGTCCAGGATGAAGGCCAGCCCCGCCGGCACCACCTGACAGATCTTCCTCATGACTGGGTAAGGCCTGCGGTACCGGTACTTAGCGTAGCAGCAGCCGGCGCAAGATAGCCAGCCACAGAAGGCGGCTGCGGGCAGGAAGAAAAGCCAGAAGTGCTCGTACCAGGCCTGGTCGGAGGTGTAGAAGAAGTGGACCAGGGCACTGCCGTACTGGTAAACGCTCACGCCCACGTAGTCCACAAAGTAGAAGGTGTAGTGGGAGAGCTCGGACTTGGACTGCAGCAGGTGGGCCAGGAGGCTGAAGGTGAGGTAAGTGATGGAGGACAGGACGTAGAGGAGCAGGGGCAGGGTGTGGGCAGAGGTCCACGGCAGGCCCTCGGCCTCCACAAAGGCCCAGAACCGCAAGAGGACGGCCAGAGCCGCCAGCAAGTGGGTCCAGACGTTGACCACTTCGTTGTGTTTCTGGAAGAGGCTGAAGAAGTAGTAACGCCACTCGTGGCCAGTGGGGCGGTACCCAGCATGGATGTAGGGCTCCCGGAAGAGCTGGGGCACGTCGGTCTCCAGGACGGTGCCGGGCATCTTGGGCAGCCCATCCTCCAAAATCTTGGGCAGGCGGCGCAGATGCTGTCCACTCACGGACAGGGTGCTCAGACGCTCCAGGATGGCAGTCGTCATGGCTACACGGGGATGCAACCTACAGGAAACAGAGTAAAATGGGCAAAGATGCGGTGAGGGGCTGCTGAGCAAAGACAGCAAGGGAACTATGGGTTTGCTAGTGCAGCTGGGGAGGCGGGACTGCAGACAACTTCTTTGAGCCTCCTTTTTTTTTTCGTATGTAGAATAATAGAGTCGGACCAAGATCGCTTACTGCTCTGACATTCTGACTTTGTCTCTACTGCTCACTACAGAGTGAAGCAAAGTCACATCTTGTAAAATGGGAATGTCAGCCACCCCATTTTAATGACATCTAGAAGGTAAGTGAGGGTACCTTTAAAGCTTTCGAGTTTGCTAGATGACATTAAAATGTAACCCTTGGGCCTTCCCTGGTGGCGCAGTGGCTAAGAATCTGCCTGCCAATGCAGGGGACATGGGATCAAGCCCTGGTCCAGGAAGATCCCACATGCTGCAAAGCAACTAAGCCCGTATGCCACAACTACTGAGCCTGCGGTCCAGGGCACATGAGCCACAACTACTGAGCCCACGTGCCACAACTACTGAAACCCATGTGCCTAGAGCCCATGCTCTGCAACAAGAGAAGCCACTGCAATAAGAAGCCTGCACACCACAATGAAAGAGTAGCCCCCGCTCGCCGCAAGTAGAGAAAGCCTGTGCGCAGCAATGAAGAACCGACATGGCCAAAAATAAATAAATTAATTAATTATTTTTTAAAAATCACAGTGGGGCTTCCCTGGTGGTGCAGTGGTTGAGAATCTGCCTGCCAATGCAGGGGACACGGGTTCGAGCCCTGGTCTGGGAGGATCCCACATGCCGCGGAGCAACTAGGCCCGTGTGCCACAACTACTGAGCCTGCGCGTCTGGAGCCTGTGCTCCGCAACGAGAGGCCACGATAGTGAGAGGCCTGTGCACCGCGATGAAGAGTGGCCCCAGCTTGCCACAACTAGAGAAAGCCCTCACACAGAAACGAAGACCCAACACAGCAAAAATAAATTAATTAATTAATAAACTCCTACCGCCAACGTAAAAAAAAAAATCACAGTGAGCTACCAACACAAACTCACTAAAAATCGCTCAAATAAAAAAAAATGCAATCATCAGACAGGCTCTATTGGTACAAAAGTTTTTTTTTTTTTTTTAAGGAATGGTATAGCAAGAGACACTGTTCCATTTTATTTATAACAGTAAGAAATTGGAAAGAACTTCCTTGTCCAACAATAGGAAACTGGTTTTAAAAAATCATAGAACCATAATTTAAGCCGTAAAACAGAATTGTGAGCAAACAATAGAAATATGCTGTGAATGTATTTAATGACATGAAAAGATCTAGCTGTATATTCATTGTCTATTATCCCAATGTCTTCCTAGTGGAACCTAGTAGTTTTCTCTCTTCAAATCTCCTATACTTCTTCATCCATCCTCACTCAGCCTAACCTTCTTCCTATTTTATTGAGAAAATGCAATCAATCAGAAGAGACTTCTGCAATCTACTACCACAACATTTACCCACCAGCCAGCATTTCTGTCACATATGCTCCTCCCCTGTTTCAATGGCTGGAACCATCTTGGTGAAGACCAACCCTTCACTTAGACATTATATTCTGTCCCTTGGCGCCATCCATTGTAGAGTTGCACATCATTGTAATGACACAAGAGGGCGCTTTAAAGGAGGGATCTTGTAAACCACTCCAAATCAAGTCTCAAATAGTCTTGAACTGGCAAAGACAAAAGCACTCTTCATCCATACAAAGCTTTTTTATGTATTTTATTTAGTACGAAGTATTATATCGAAATACAAAAATTATCAATGTTGATATTAGTAATGAGAGCCTACATTTCTTGAGCACCTAATCTTAAATTACCCACTAATTTCACTGGGAACTTGAAAATCTGAGATAAGCAATAGTTACTTGAACCTCAAGGTCAAATGAGTCATCAATCAGGTTGGTAAAAACCAAGGCATATTCTGAGAAATCTTTTTTTTATAATTAATTAATTAATTTTTGGCTGTGTTGGGTCTTCGTAGCTGCACGCAGGCTTTCTCTAGTTGTGGCAAGCAGGGGCTACTCTTCGTTGTGGTGCATGGGCTTCTCATTGCAGTGGCTGCTCTTGTTGCGGAGCACGGGCTCTAGGTATTCAGGCTTCAGTAGTTGTGGCACACGGGCTCAGTAGTCATCGCTCATGGGCTCTGGAGCACAGGCTCAGTAGTTGTGGTGCACGGGCTTAGTTGCTCCACTGCATGTGGGATCTTCCCGGACCAGGGCTCAAACCTGTGTCCCCCGCATTGGCAGGTGGATTCCTAACCACTGTGCCACCAGGAAAGCCCTATCCTGAGAAATCTTAAGAGCTGAACAAAATTAACATGTAGCCTAAATTTAATGAAATCTAATTGCAAAGACTGTGTGTGTATTTTTTTTTTTTTTAATTATGCTCTGGAAAGCAAGTGGTTTTGGACTTGCCTCTCCTGAGAACCCAAATCTGTATGCAACAAATTTCAGCCCTCACAAATGTTTAACTTGGGCTTCCCTGGTGGCGCAGTGGTTGAGAATCCGCCAAGGACATGGCAGAAGTGTCTGTGTGAGAGGTACCAGAGGCAGAAAAGGGGGCCGATGGTGGAACCCTGGGGACAGACGCCACAGTTGACAGGGTGATGGAAGAAGAAAGCAGAGGCGGGACCACAGAGGGCGGTGTCACTTAAGCCAGGAGAGGAGGTACCGGTCTATAGCATGAGTCCCCCGAGCTCAGGTGACATAAGGATTGAACAAGAAAAAACCCCAGGGATGGGGCTTCCCTGGTGGCGCAGTGGTTGACAGTCCGCCTGCCGATGCAGGGGACACGGGTTCGTGCCCCGGTCCGGGAAGATCCCACATGCCGCAGAGCGACCGGCCCGTGAGCCATGGCCACTGAGCCTGCGCGTCCGGAGCCTGTGCTCCGCAACGGGAGAGGCCACAGCAGAGAGAAGCCCGCGTACCGCAAAAAAAAAACAAAAAAACAAAAGAACCCTCCACGGATGAGAAACCTCCCCTCTTCCTTCTGCAACATCAAACCTAAACTCACGCCACCCGCCGCACTCACTTCCTCTGTCTTCCGCAGCGGCCCCTCTGCTCGTGGGCCCACAGAGGCCGTAGCATCCTGGGTCGTGTTCTGCCCCTTTCCTGGAAGGCCCGCCCCTCACCCCTTCACATGTGTAAGTCCTATCCTCCCAGCAGCAGCTCTGCTCCGTAGAGGCCTGTTTGTATTTCTCTCCACTTAACACTCCGTTACGTGCGGTCTGGTGGTGGCTGTTGATTCGTGAAGTTTGACTCTTCTTGTAAGCGGCTTGAGGTAGGTGGTCTTATTTTATTCTTCCTCTGTGGCCTTGGTAGCCTGGAATATTGTTGAGCAGACAGTCCTTGCTCTGAAAAAGCTCTATGGTTGATCCACATTCTTTTTAAAAAAATTATTAATTAATTAATTAATTTTTGGCTGTGTTGGGTCTTAGTTGCTGCACGCAGGCTTTCTCTTCAGCCAGGCCCTGTTATCATAGGATCCCCAAATACATGCCTCCAGCCAGATCTTTCCTGAGTTTGGATTCAAATATCCAGCAGCTCTGGTTTTGTCCAACTGAATATCCCACGGGCATTTCAAACTCAACCTCTTCAGCCTCCTCCTTCAGCCCAGACTTGACCTGTCCCTACCTCTGATCAGTCATGGAGGCCTGTTGATTTTATCTCAACGTTTCTGGAATCCACTTGTCCTTTCCATTTCTACCGCTCCCCCTTGATTCGGGCCTTCAAGATGAACTTGTGTTGATGAGGAAAACAGCGGTCTCATAACTGACCTTTCTTCCTCAAGAGATGGTTCCCCCACCTCATATCCCCAAACCCGCCCTCTAGTCTCCAAACCATTTCACGGTGATAGTTTAAAAGCGGAGACTGATCACTACTCCCCTCCCCAAAGTCCCTCAAGAGCGCACCATTGTTTACCACACAAACTCTCAGCCTGTGCAAACAGGCCCTTCTGTAGACCTCCTTCCCAGGTCCTATTCCAGCCTCCTTTCCCAGAGCCCACACCCAGGCCACTTGGATGGCTTGGATCATAACACCGGGAGTTTTTCAAAGGTACAACACTCTCTATCTCCCCTGTATGCTTCTGCACACAACGGCAGCTCCAGCAACCCCAGCTCATCAACACTCTGCCCAGGCGCCAGCTCTGCCTGTGGGCTTTCCTAACCCCAGGCTGGATGAGGGTGCCCCACCTACCCTGGCCTTGCCTCCCCATCACACTTCTCTCCTGGGGCCCTGACCCCTGGTGATGAGCTCACTTCCCACCACACCCGGCTGCTTTAAGGGCAGGGGCTGTGTGGCATGCAAGTTCCTATGTCTGAGATGATATGTGGCATATAAAATAGTCATACACCTAATCATGATTTACTGAACAAATAGTTCTTTAGGCCCAGACGTATGGCACCAATTTCCTCCTGTTCTGCCAGGTTAAGGGAAAAAAAGAAATAATGGTTTCCAAGTCGGGAAGTCTGGCTGTTAATATTTGCTCTGTACAATGAGCTATGTGGCCATGCCCAAGACATTCAGCTGCTCAGGGTCATTTTCCTCATAAACAAGGGTGGGTGGGAGATGATTTCCTGTCTCTCTACCTCTCAGGAAATAAAGAGAGTGGATAATAATAAAATGGGCAGTGGCTGAATGATGCTTTGAAAAGGCAAACCATGCACATTAAAGTACCAGCAATATTTGAACTAAAGAACACACAGAAGGGTTACAATTTTGTAATATATATATTTTTTTTTCTACCTTATAATTGATTTTAATGCAATCTTTGAAAATTGAAAAGGAATTTAATGTTTTTGGTTACATTTCTGGGATTCTTCCAACTGCTTTATTAAGAGCTTTAATTAGATTTAGATTATAATGGGATTGGAATTAAAAGTTCTATTTCTTGAGTACAACAACATCTACACCATGAATTCAGTTAACATTCACAAGAAAGTGTTATAAAATGTTACATCATGCCTCGGACTAT